TTTTAATTTTCTTTTTGATACATTTTTGGTGGGTTTGTTTAATTAATAGAGGAAAGAGGCGCTAGTCGGCCAAAAACAAAACAAAACAAAACAAAACAAAAACAAAAAAACCCAAATAAATAAATAATAAATAAAATAATTTAAAAAAAAAATAAATAAAAGAGCAAAACAAAACAGAAAAAAACATCGTAACCCAATATGTGATGTCACAAAAATTAAAAAGCTATTTTTCGATTGACGCTTTGTCTTCTCAGTAACCAGTTGCAAATTTGAAAAACAATAATGCTATGTGTCCGATCAGTTTGACGTCACGAAACTTTCTCGAAAGTATTTTTTTTTTCACAACCTGCACAAGAGAGTCATATCTCAAAACCAGAACTCCTTATCGGATCAAATTGAGCAGATCTTTGTTCGTTTTTTTTGTGGGTCATTGGAGGTGTTTCATCCTCGGGGAATCTTCGCCAAATAATATACTGGTAATTGAATAGTGCCGCTTAAAATAAAGTTTTCTCACAATCTTTTTGATGTATCCCCTACGTGCAAACATTTAGATAATTCGTCACATTCAATATTACGTTAATGTATCTCCAGGGACAAGTAGGGCCAAAAAAGCTCCTGGTTTTTGGTAGGTAAAATACCTTATTAAATAGTTTACATCAGAAGCTAGATATATGTTTAATAAAAAGTGTTACCACCAACCCAGATATATGTCAGCAATAGATTGTCGAGATGTGTAAAATGACAACAAGGTGTATATCTCAGCTGGAAAAGTCAAAACGAAGTAATCTGTGTACAGATGCTGTTGCGGGTGTGTGATCACTGCTTGGGTATTTACCCAAGATCTTGGGTATTTTGACTTGGTCTTGGGTTCTTGGGTATTCCGTTCAAATCCTTGGGTATTTTATTTTTACTAAGAAAATTAAATATTTTTGTCAAAGAGGAAGAATTAAGAAGTAACAAAGTATCTGTCAGTCCATTCAAGTAAGCAAAACTCAACGAAGTGCACATAACATTGTTAATTGACTGTTAATTGCTATAAGCATGGGTTCAGAATTGTTTATTTCTGATTTGCGTTGCCATTGATCTTACCTAATTAATGCATTACATAATAAAACTTGATCTACTGTTAACACTGGCCGACTGAGGGCGTATTTTTCTATCTGTATTATCACCTCATGAATATTAATTTTAATAATTAACACAAACAATTAGAATAAAAAATGGTTTATAAATTGAACTAAAAGGGAAACTATACATACGAAAAACACGGGTTTTTTTTCAAATTTCAATGCATTTTCTGGATGCTTGGGTAATTTTGGGCAATTTCAGCTGAATCTTGGCTAATTTCAACCCAGTCATTGGGTATATCAAAAATTGTGAGTGGTCACGCTGGTTGCTGGCCTCCCATTCCTTATCGGTAGATCAAACCAAATTGTTCTCTTTTTTTTTTCTTTTGTACCACAATATAGATATCAGAACTTCATTATGTTCAGTCTAAAAATAATTGTACCTCCTCCGGTTCTCCATATTATAGATTTGATGATTTCAATTCTTTTTCCGATAGATTGAATTATTTCTTTTTTCATATACTTTATGTTATGGGATTCCTTCATAAACATGCCGTATCTAGAAGTATTGAATTTGGGAGGGGAACAGATTGTTAGGGGCAGGGGTGTCCAGTGGGGGAGAAAGTAGGAGGGTTCGATGAAGTGAGGGGCCCTGCTGGCCAAATGAGGTGGTGTGAGGTTATTCTTTACTAACATAGCGTAATTTTGTTTTTCTTCAAAATTCCAGTGGGCTGCCGCACCCCCTAGATACGCCACTGCATCATAACTGGCACACTGATTTCTATGAGTAGGCATACCGTAAATATGCTCGAATAAGCACCGAGGCACTTATAATGTTTTAGGAGGCTTCAATGTGGCGCATTTTATATTCAAGTATAGGATTTCTTAAAAAATTATATTTTTAGATCTTTAGGCCTATTGAACAGGCCCCTCATAGCCCCGGACTTTGCACTGGCTGCAATGCCCATACCTACGCACTAAAACAGTATATGAAGAATCTGTAATCGTGGTAAAACTAGATGCAAAATAAACTCCCTAAGGGGAAAATTTTATGTTTAGGTTCAAAGTCTCCAAAATGGGGTCAGCCTACCCTATTCAGTGGCACTCGTAATAATTGCAGAATCATACCAAATGACTCATAGCAGGGGTTCTTTATAATACAATATCCATTCATAAAAAGGCTATCGAAGACTGTTAACTTAATCTTAATACTGTACCGTTAATGGTTAAACCTCGACAAAGGCTTGATCTCGAGAAAAGCCCATCTCGAATCAAAGCCCCCGCTCCCTGCTGAATTAGCCTCGAAATAAGTCCATGGGCTTGTTTTCGAGAGTACAATATATAGGCCTGTACACACCACATGAATTTCACAGAAACAAAAAAAAAACAAAAAAATAAAAACATGCTAGGTATATACGAGTTCAGGTGACTTAATGCTGGTTAATTATACACTCTATTACCAACCGTCTCGCATCGTGCGGGACGGTCCCACATTTCAAAGTGATTTTGGAAACACGCATTTTGCAGAAACACATGACGTGATCATAAATTTGTATTTTTTTTTTTTTTTTACATTTAGCACATATTCAGGGAAAATTTATTTAAATTTAGAAGAAATTGGTTTTGTTAAAAATATAAAAACGGTCATGTATCGTAGTGACTAAAACTACTGTTAGCATCTCAAACACGCACGCAGTGAGATAAGTACAGTATTTAGGTGAATACAGTAACTTAATTCATTGACGCGTTAATAGATATTATAAGATAAGATATTTTTGTTTATGTACCGGTATTGTCAACAAAAAATTTAATAACGGTTTAACTATTTAATGTTTTATTATTTGAATTATTATTATTAGTTCAGCACCACAAACAGTATGTATAAGTTCTACTGTTTTCTCTACTCTCTCCGTTCCACGCGCCTCAGGATATTGGTTAAGTAACAATTATTGTTGTGTCTTCTTAATAATGTGACCATTATAAGTATAATAATAATAATAATAATAATAATAATAATAATTAAACGAAATAAAAACGTATGTCCCCATCGCGATTCAAACCCGAGACCTTCCGATTACCGTTCGGATACTCTACCAACTATGAGACCTGATGAGACCAAGTTTCTAACCATATTAAGACACGTTTATTTTCTTTTGTTATTGCGTAATACACCATAAATAATAATAATAATAATAATAATAATAATAATAATAATAATTAATAAGACACGTTTATTTTCTTTTGGTATTGCGTAATACACCATGAATTATAATAATAATAATACACAATAAAAAGTAATACATGCTGTAGAAAGGCCTTTTTGAAATTAATAATTATCCTGTCGCAGTACTTATTATTAACAGGCTTATTAATTGCACCGTGAGCCGAAGTCCTACACACTAAAAAACAAAAAAAAAACAAAAACAAAACATTAAACATAATATTTTGTTTTAATGAATCAACAGGCATATATTATTATTAACTATTAGAAGATGCACATACATTTTACGTATTCCTAATCATCCCACCCATCCCCTCCCCCTCCCCCATCACCTGAATCTTCATGGACTATGTAGTTTTGAGCGTATGGTTTTTGTATACAGTAGTATTCGGTAGGCACAGATCCCTTCCGTACACACATACAAACAGGGATCATGTTAAAAACTCTGCAATTGGTTGTAAATGTGTCTAGCTAGGGAGTTATCAATTATATTTGAGACAATTCATTATGCAAACAGGTTGATGAGTTTGAAAATAATGCGTACAATTCCGTACACTTTGATAGGCCCATTCGAAGTCCTACACCTCTCAAATGTTGCAATCCCATTTAGGGTAATATTGTCCTAAAATTAGTTTAATTTCAATTTTAATTAATAGCAAGCGTATTACTATTACATTATTTTTTAATTGCGTTCTTAAAATTAACCACATACATCACTTTTTCTATTTGATTTAATACAGTACGGTAATTATGATTAATTAAAGATAACCTACCTAACATAATAATGGAAACTTCCGTCTGAAACTAATTTAATTCGCAGACATTATAACTCCGCCCACTCTAACCTAACAACTCCTTTCTACTTTAGTACTAGCGGAGCAGTGTTTACACACGAAAAATAGTCTTAGCATTGCGCAATATTGAGAAATAATTATTAATTCATACCATTTTCCTACACTAGCATTAGCTAAATATTAAAGAATTACTGCTTTTATTTCATTTTGTTGTTAGTATGTTGCAGCAATTGTAAGTAAATACACTTACAAATGAAATTGTAATGAGATGTGTAAGAAAGATAGATCTGTATGAATTCATTCAAACAGGGTGTCACACTCTAAATAAATAACCTATGTAATAAATTTATTTTTGTTAGTTTTACTAGGACTATAGTAAAAAAAAAAACAAATAATGTAGTGCCTCATAAACTAATACAATAAATTTTGGGTTTACAGTGATCAATCTTGGGGCTATAGAAATGCCAGTTTACACTTATTAATAGGGGCGGAGTCCACTGTTATCGCGCCATCCGTATTGGCGGATTACTTTTTACGTATTGTAGTAGTGATTCGCCCGGTCGGTCACCGATTATACAGCTAGGGCTTTTCCTGACGCTCCCTCTGTAGTGGCAATTACTCAGTTCTTGAGCTCTGAATGGTTCACAAAGCCTTTGATAGGCCTCCAAGATTATACAATTTATTATTTTAGCGGTCTTGGATATATAATAGTCTGGTAAGTTTTACATCTTGTTATGCGAGTTATGTTGTGTGCTGAAGTGACTTTCTTATTATTTTTTGCATGTGTAGATAGTTGGGGATGCCTTTTGCGCAACGAGTTTATGTTGTGTTGAGTATGCAAATGTCCATTTAAAAAAGCCGGCAAAATCCAATAATGACCCACTGTCAAAAGTAAATCTGAATCACTGGGACTATTGTGGCTCATAGTGTTATGTTGACTTGTTAATTGTTGGAGCATCCGTGTTTCATTAGAGTTATCCTATGTTAGTGTTTGTAAAGTTGTAACCTTATTTTGTCAGTGTATTTTGGAAGTTACATTTGATTTGCAGAGTTTTAAAACCCCGGAAGTGCAAGCAAGTCGAATTCACAACACAAGTACTAGCGCAGGGGCCTAGTCTAGGTAGGTAGGATGTTGGGACTCTGTATAGGATCAATCAGAGGGGAGAAACACTAGGACTGAAAACCATAGTGAGGCACTATATCATTGTAGTAATTTATAAACATTTTTTGTTCTGTACTTTTTCAGATGATGACGTTAGCACATCGGAGAAACCATTCACTTCGGTTCGAGACTGAATTCGATGAAAACCAACCATACTTCGTCCAATCTATGGACGAAGAGGAATTTTACGAATCAACAACACCTAGTGAAGACATATGGAAGAAGTTTCAGTTGTTGCCTACCCCTCCTAGGAGTCCAGGAAGGGATGAAATCGATGATGGTTTTAGCCCCCTCATCACGGATACAATCACATCTTTTCACCCAGCTATCACCGAACAGTTACGTCTTGTTTCCGAGTCTTTGGATGACGGGCTTGCAAGCCCAGCACCACCGACTATTTTTGTTGGAGATATAAATTCAAATTTAATTCAAGATTGTATGTGGAGTGGTTTAATTGAAACATCATTGGACTCCGAAAAAGACATATCGACGCCGAGCAAAACAGTTTTATCAAAGGATAAATCTCTCCCTTCCAAATTCCCAGTGACCAAATCAAGCAAAGTACCATCTTCTACTACAGCAGAGTATGGAACAGGGGAGTGTGTAGACCCAACAGCAGTTTTCCCATACCCTTTGAGTGACCGAATGGACTTGTCACCAGAGACACCATCCGACTCTGGTAAGTGAAATTCAATTATCATAGTTTGGACCTGGTATTAGAATTAATTAATTTGTATTTCCAGCCATTTTTTTCCTACGCCATTCCAGTCTCTGGCACGACGCAACGGATGGGTGACAGCCGCGCTCCCTCCTTTTCAATAATGTAACATTTATAAACTTTATATTCAGCGCGCAATATATCGGAAGTCAATAGAGAGGGACTAGCCTAGATTAATGCCAATGTGCATTGTGGCGAAACCGAGGTCATTTAACTTAAGCCCACATTTTTTAAATAAAAGATATCCAAATTAGGCATCTGTAAACTTTACTAATTAGATCTGAGATATGCTAACTTGATAATTTCTCAAGAACTATCTATGTGTAAGCTAGCCTACTGTATGCATTTTCTTTCCTATTGGGAATTTTTGAAACTTAATTTAAAAAGCCACAAGAATACTAACTTTAATATAGATTTAAATTCATTTTTTGATGTGTTATGTACAGTTTTAATATTTTTTGTTTGTTAAATATTTGTCGAAATCACGGTAAAAGTGACTCACTCAAGTACTGATAGTCTTAGTCTATATGGTAATTTTCAGCAATTATTATATGGAGTTAATTGGAAGCTATTCTACCAAAACTTTTTTTAATTGTTGTACCATAACTACAGTAGTACTAGGCCTAGTGAATGCCGAGTCTAGTCGTGCTTGTGCTACTATATAGCCAAGGTGTCCTATGCTTTACAATGACATACTAGGAATTCCATTTTGGTGACATCATAAGATATAGAGAGGATGTACAGTACAGGTGGCCATATTTCTTTCTTCCTCATTATACAGTAATAAATTTAAAATAAAATCTTTCCCTGTCTTGCAAACCCATTATGAAAGTATCCTACCAATGTTGGTGGTAATTTGATTGCACAATATATTTTAAATTACTATTATTATAATATAGGATTTTTTAAAATATTTTCACAAGCTTTGGTTTAAACTAGCTACAGTACTGTACGGTATATAGATATATACCAATACCATGCTATTTTTTATGATTAGTTTGATATGATTTTTAAACCAATAATTTATGATTTATATTTTTAAAGTTTTACTGAATTACTGTACAGTATATATGCTTGTACTGTATTAAACAGACAAGATATAAGTTTACACTTTTAAACAATAAGCACATCTCAAATCATCCACAATTATAGACTCGTAGTTTTCATCGTATTAAAATCTAGCTACTTATACCAAGATGTTGAACTATAAGCTATACAGTAAAGACAGTGACATTGCTAAGGTTTGATTTAACCGTAATTAATTAATATACTGTACCAATAGAAAGTTCTTATTTTAGATGTTTGTATAGGAGCGGAGGTGTATACAAACCATGTGTTAGACACTCTGGATTCTGCCTTCCATATGTTACCACATTTGATAATATTTTTATTGATATTGTACACGTGTTTCAAAATGATCACCATTTGTCCTGTTGCATCATGGTCTGCTTTTTATGTATAATTGAATTGATGTTGAATTTAAATTCTGTACTTGCAATTCAGATTGCAGTATTATTTTCACTCAAATCTAGAACAAAAAATATACAGTTGGTAATTTCACAATACTGTAAGCCAATGCAAAGTAATTTCCATAAGGGATCATCTATTATTTTCATCATTTTATTTCAAAAGTACGAAACATTTTAAGGGTGAAGGAGGGAGTTGACAGTGTAGGCATATGTACACTTTTATGAAGAAGATGATCTCAAAATTATACAAATCATAATTTTTTTTTGTGTATTTTAAAGTGGAAGGTAGGGGATCAGATAAAAGAGTACTGTATGTTGTGTACTCGTGTGAAAATAACAGATGGCCCCTAAGATTTTATGAATTCATTTTTTAATATGAAATATTCAAATTGCAATAGACAGTAACCAGACGATTAAAATATGTTTATTAATACTGTAATGAAAAAGCTTTTAAACTCATCCGTAATATCATTTAAAATTATATTTTTTTTAACAGAGGAAGAGATAGACGTTGTCAGTGTCAGTGAGAAACAACAAAAAGTTAGTGAAATCACCAAGATACGTATTACCCACAATTACTCGGCTCCATACTCAGCAAGCTTGAAACGCAAGTCTGGACTAAATTTATCGCTAAATACATCGTCAAAGAAGTCGAAAACCGAGGCTAACATTGAAGAAGTGAAGCGGGTTTTACAGAGCATCAAAACGCCGTCATCACACTCTAGTAGTCGATCAAGCAGCAAATACAGTAGTCGACAGAACAGCCGGACAGGTAGCCGGAACAGTAGCCGGGCATCTTCTGACTCGGAAGATATAGACAAAAGAGCATCGCACAATGTTCTTGAGCGAAAACGAAGGACTGATCTGAAAAATAGTTTTATGCGTTTGCGTGATAACATTCCAGAACTTGAGTGCCAGGAACGGGCCGCAAAAGTTGTTATTTTGAAAAAAGCTGTTGATTATGTTGAGGAACTGCAAAGTGATGAAAGCAGCTTGCAAGAAGAGGAGCGAATTCTTAGACGGCGGAATTTAATGTTATTACAAAAGTTGCGGACTTTACGGGAAGATGTGCTGGACCTATAAACTAATGATTGTTTTGGTTTTTAAAAGAAGGAAGTGGAAAGTTTTAAATTGTTTTGTTAGCAGTGAAACGATGGCAATATGTACAGGAAAGGGTCTTTGTAGCGTTTGTAAATTGAACAGATTTTGTTAGAGTTCTTGTGTACAGTTATACATATAAATATATATATTTTCTTTTTTTATATTGCCCATTCTAAAAAAGATTTTCTTTGTACATTAAAAACTGTATATACTTTGTTAAAATAAGAGATTTTTTATATACAGTACAGTATGTTAGTTTCTTGTGTGGTGTATATAAACATCAAAGACTTTGTCATTGTAGATTATTCAAGCCAATCTTCCATATATATATTCACTAATTTCTGCTAAGAAAAACATTTTAAAAAAGATTCCTCTTTTTCAAAGGAACCAAAAATATTTTTCAACACTGCCACCTATTAAAAGTAAAAGCTTAATAAGAATAAAAAGTAGAAAATCTGGACTTTATTCATACCTGTATCCAATCTTAAATTGTATGACAGTACAAAAAAGAATGCAAGACTATAAAGCATTTATCTAGTTCACAATACAAATAGTCTTATAATGGTTAACAAAATGTAAGACCTGTTCCATTGTAAATAAAATTTAAAACCCATCTTTATATCACTCCTTTGTTCCTTTGTTATACTTTTGTTTAAAATATACCTAGAAAATAATGGTTGCGTCCTAATTACCATATCTCCCGCCAAAAGTAATCACGTGAAAGGTCACCGTGTCTAAGTTCCTAATTGGATATGTATGAGCTGTCTAGTCGATAGGTCAGGAATGTACAGGCTATATTGATATAACAAATTGGAAACACCCTCGAAAGGGTAAGCCTCAGACCGTTCCATTATCCTAGAAGGGATGATTTACTTAATTGCAATGTTTGTATATTGTAAATAAAAACTGGTGATTTTGTTTTCAACTTGTACCTACCTCTGGTTTGGTTGATGTATGGTTTGTGAGGCGATTTTAGTATGTGTGATTTTTTAGCAAAGCGATTTTGACTCGTATACAGTAATATAGAAATAGATGATTTTGGACATGGTTGATGTCAGATTAGATGCAACAACATTAATTATTTGAGTACGTTAATCCATGAATGCAGCTGGAAATGCCAACAGTTTGGTTTGCATAAATACCCATTTTACATTTTATTATGCCTGTATTCTTTGAAATTTAAGTAATGTTTTTTTTTGAGAAATAATTATATTTTTGAAATTAAATTTAAGGTACATTGCAACTCTGAATATGTTGTGTCTGTATGTCATTAATATTTGGCTAGTCACAACATTCGCTTCAGAATTTAAATTTGTGTAATTACATATCACTTCATGTGATTCTGTAGCATTAATTGTGTACTATTTTAAAAATTGTCATTGTTTTATGTATACTAATGAGATATATTTTTCATCCATTTTTATCAGTTGCTCTGTGTTGCATATATCAAGAATTGTGAACTTAATTTTTCTTCAGAAAAAGACCAAATTTAAATTTCCCAAAAGTAGTATGTTTTAAAGTTGCCTTTTTGACAAAAAAAAAATGCAATGAGATATGATTTTTTTTTATCGAGAAATAATGAAAAATATTAGTAATTGGTGTTATATTTTACATTTCCTATCTTAACCTGGATTTTAAGATTTCTACCTCAGTTGGAGAAAATCAGGTAATAGAAAAGGAAAGCAAAGCAAAAAATGTTTATCTTTGCATTTTGGAAAAGAAGTTTCAATATGTTATTCAAATGTTTTGTTTCTGTAATTGGTTTGAAAGGAAAAATTGTAGCTAATTTAAATTTTAGGTCACATGATTAAATTATGACGTCAGAGAATCGTTAACAAATTTTCAGTTAAACCCTAACCTTGAGGAAAAAAAATGTTCCAAATTGTATCTGTTTTGGTCTTTTGATATGATGTATCAATTGGTATCGATAGATTTTGTATCAATCTATTGATATTAATCAATTTATATCAATGATTGCTATTGATTATTGATAAGCATTACCTATCTGTTTGATGTATTTAAGGTTTAAAGCTTTCGTATTATAGATACTTGCAACCGTGTTTTGTTTAATTGTTTATGCATTAAGCAAGTTCAGTCTTCCAATCATTGTAACTTCTTTTTTGTAAGAAAAATTTATAGAAAAACATGATTTTTTTGCATAAGTAGGCATATTAATAAAATGTTAAAAGAATCAATATACTGTAGCGTAGTGTTTGATTTGATTAAAGTCAAGTCTGTTTCGTTGTATGATTGTTGCTGTCGAACTGATGGTAAGATCACAGACCCTATATACATATATAGGGTCTGCGGTAAGATGTACTGTATTATGCGTGTTTCATAACTGGTGATAGTATTCGAGAAAAAACGTATCCCCACGCGATTTGAACCCAATACTGCCATTCGGATAGCTCTTACCACTTGAGAGTGTAGGTATTTTTCTGAATATGGTTGAGGTGGGGTGTGTGTGAAATTGAAGACGGAGTGCTCGATGATAAAGTTAGCGGAGCTCTGGAAAAATGATGTATAAGTGGAATTTAAACGACTTCAGCGTGTTGTTTTTTTTCCGGTGGGGAGGGGACTGAGCTTTTTTGGGGAGAAAAGAGGACATGCGTACCCCTTACATACAATTATACTGTACTGTACATTATTTATCAAATTATGCTGAATTCGTTATTACGTCAAGGAAACCAGTTATTTTAATATACCAATGGGTTAACACTACAGTAGATGTCGCACTTGTCAGGGTCAATTTTATTTCCAGCCTCATCACTTAAAATTATTGCAACATACATTGAAACACAAGATGGAGGTGAGCGAAAAACCTAATATTGCCAACACAAAGCTGGTGCCAAATTGGACATGCACCGCATTTCCATATATGGATATCATACACATCACAACAAAGAAATTCGAACAACCGGACCTCTCTGTGTGTAGAGGTGTCGACTGATTGTGCAATTTGTAGATAATGCATTAGTGAAACTATCGTAAATGTTCTCACGTTATTTTCTTCAATCCTTAAAGGAAAGTATGTAGTAGAAGACTATATTTGGAGATGTCAGCAAAGGGAGAAGGGTGCGTGGTACAACGCTGATAATTTTTATATCGGACCTATAAGATATTTCGAAACGTAGGCCCATGTACCCTATCCGAAATGTTATTTATTCTCCACTAAGTCTGAATAAGGCCTTACTCACCGCCTAATTATAATGATCTTATGCTTTATGTAATTAAATTTCTCTGTTTTCAATATTCCGGCTATTCCAATGATTTATGTGATATTAATGAGTAGTTGAAAGTCAGTATAGTAATAGACTGTATGTAGGCCTGGAAATGTAAATAGAAAATTCAATATTTTAGCTAGGCCCATCGTTTAGAACTTTAGATATGACCGTGCAGTATGTGATTGGTTTACGCCGCGTCAATTAACGCTAGTGCCCACGCATGAATCATAGCTGTACGAATCCTAGCTGCTACGGCCGCGTCTTATGTTAAACATTACGTTTCCGGTATGCTCTTTGTCTGCCAAGCATGTTGTTTCCGATATCAACGCGCTACTGGTTCTGTTTGCGTTATTGGTCCAATGAAATTTTAGTCACTATGGTAACTGGCGAAATTAATGTAGTAGACGTAGGCCTATGCTAATTAAATCGTGAATCACATTTTTAGAAGTGTTATATAGAAATTTTAACAAGCAATTCTTACTCATAGGTTTCAGGTGTTTTGTGAATCGATACGGTGATTCTACTAAAAAAAAATTATGATTAGACCTAATATGTTTCTCGGAACTTCGGAGGAATAAGTTGATAAAATGTGCAACCAGAAAAAAGCGCACGCTCATGCTAGTGGAATGAAAACACAAAATCCCTGTTTACATGTACACTTTGCTAGGTAATGATGTATCTTAAACTGAAAACATACCGAAACTGGTTTGCAAACATTATTCCCATTGTCACATGACCAGCTCTTTTGATTTTTGTTATATGACTGAGCCAATAGTGGCAATTCAACTTATAGGCAGCTACTCCACGACGGTATACAGCAATACATTGCTAATATTTTGAGGAAAAACAAGTCTCCAATTCCCACTTATCACCACCCATGGTTTATATAAGGTTGATTCCAAACAAATGAGCATCTCTTGTTACACTTACAGCAAGATAAAAATCAGTGGTGGCTCTAGTTTAAACGGAAACAGGAAAAAACAAATCGTCTAGGAGGAAACAAATTCTGTGTAACTTCTGTAAGACTTTAGAATCGAATAAAATAAACCTTTCATGCCTTTAGATTGTCGAAATTTTCTTGGGGCTTTGTTCTCTGGACCCCTCAGGCTCTCCCCACCCCCACCGTCGTAGGCATTGCATCCACCGTTGGGAAAAAACCTAGCGACACCACTGAGTAATTAAGATTTTTAAAAAGTAGTATTGCACCTGAATTCTAAAATAAATTAATGAAAGTTATTATCATGCTATTAAAGGATGACTATTATTATTTTTTTTAATTATATTATCTAACAATGATTTCGTTCCTAATGTTAAGTTTCATTATTGTATTCAGAAATTGCACTGTGTAGAAAAATCTAATTAACAAACAATCAAACAAAGATTATATTTGAGACTTGTAATTAACGGTTTGATTACAGGTAAGAATAAAGTGTTGTTTAAGTCCGTGGATACATTTGCCCATGGTACAGTTTCTTGTACAATTTTAGCGTTTATTGACATACACAAATATAAATATGAAACATTTTGCAAAATTATAGGCACTATAATTTTAATAGTGTAGGCCTCTTACGCAAAAGTGGGTAATTCTTATTTCTTCAAAATTAATGTTATGAATACAAAGAGGGCGCTATCGCAAAATCAGTACCAGAGCCGTAGATAAAGAGAGTTGGCCAACTCGGTTTCAATCACGTGACTTACACCGGCCATGTTGTCACCAAAACAAAACAACGCGATAGGGTAGGAAGTTAGCAGTTATTATAATAGATGATTAATGCTATATAATGTGAAATACCGTTATGTTGGGTTTGGGGTTGCTGCAATCGATCCAACAAAGAAACAAAAATGTACTAATTTCCTTAAATTCCAAAAAGGAGGAGGATTTGGGATTTTATTTTAACTTCACATGGCGATCGAAAAATCTCGCTATCCACGTAGTAAATTATAACGCATGTACCGCGCGCCCGCCCCACTTCGCGGTAATAATATATCCACCTACTACTACTAGGCCTAGACAGGCCTAAATTTCGGTACTTCTTCGGCCGAACACCTTAAGGTAGTACTTAAATCAGCTTCATTACGATGATAATAAAAAAAAAAGGAAGAATTTTCAAGCAGCAATGATTTATAAAAAAGATGCAATGTTGCACTTTGCTGTTAAATTATATAACTAAATTTCCAGAAAGTTACATGAAGTATCAGTCAAAGGTAGCTTAAATTATAATTAAAAATAAAAATTGAATCCTCCAATAAAAGCGAAAACTTGTCCAAGGAGTCCTGAGCTATGCAAACATGCCCAATTGTGCTTTACAAATCAATTAATTGTGCAACTAAAGATTTTAAAGATAAAAATATATTTTAAAGAGATATAGGCCTAATTGTATTATAATATATTGATTGTTTTAATACATATTTAAATTGAAACGTTTAAATGTTTTTTAAAAAAAATCAAAATTTCAATGAATAGTAAATAATGAATAATAAATAATAATAATAATAATAATAATAATAATAATAATAATAATAATAATAATAATAATAATAATAATAATACAGTAATAATGATAATATTATAACTCACTAATATAAACAGAAGTGTGGAGAATGCTGCTATTTTACTTACAAGGCCTAGCTTCTTGATTATGAATGATTAGGCATATGTTGTACAAAAATTTCTCTCAATGCAATAATTCTCCAACTTTGATTTATTGTTTAGATTACAATTTATAAATAGGCCTAGGCTATTTGTTGTTTGAAGATGACCAGCATATTTTATTTCATAAATTAAAGTTTACGAAGTCATAGGCCTAGGCCTAGATACAATTAGAAAACTTTCATGTTATTAATATTTTTATCATTCATTTACAGGCGAAATTAACATATTATCGCCGACGATTCACAAACCTACTCTGTCTGCGCAACCACCAGGCTCCTCTGCAGTGTTGACTCTTATGAGCCTCATGCTATAGAGTAGGCTGCTAGCAACTAGGTATAGGGGCATAGGCCTTAATGATAGACTTTCAAACAAAAAGATAATCGTAACGAAAAAAAAAATAAAGAATCGTCCTCACTTTATCTTCTCGAAATAATACAGCACGTCACTGAATTAATTTCAAAGTTAGGTAAATATGATTATACAGTATATGATATTTACAATATGTTAAAATCCCATAATTGAATTGTCCTCATCAACAGAATAATGAAAGAAAGTTTATGCAGCATCAGTGTTTTATAAAATGTTATAAAGCTATACGGTACGCGCGCACGCTGTTTGGTGACAACATGGCGCCCATGCGCCAAGTTGGCCAAACTCTCTCTATCTACGGCTCTGATCAGTACTAAACAAGACTTTTTATAAGACGTTGCGCATTATTTTAAAATGTATATTTATAATATTTTGTTTGTTTCATGACACTAACGTAATTTGATATACATATTCGGTATTTGGTGACCTAAGGAATGTGTCAATATTATATTCATACAAATTATGGTTATTTGATTTTGAACAAGGCTTTTGGCGGCCACGCTTAATGCGTTTCGCGGTCTCAATTTACAAAATATATACAATGTAGAAAAACATAAATAGACGTTGGAAAATTGCATGAAACTTGAATACGTTGAATAAGTTAATCGCAAATTAATTATTATTATTATTAAAGGCTGAACCACAGATCCTATATACCTATATGTGTGTCTGAACACAAAGATACGTGAATTTCAGGAACTGTTGAACAAAAATGTCGTCACCCTATAATTGTAATGTTATAGAGGGCAGTAGAGCATATTTTGACGTGCTCAGGAAGCTACTTTTTCACACAGGCCGCTCCAATTGTGGTAAATAATATTTGTGAATCCCATCAAAATATCAAATTTTAAGCCCCGGGTGGGTGATACTGTAGACCGGGTTCCAGTCCCTAATATTTGTCTTAATCAGTTGAAATTCTTAAGATTAAATCGATTTTGGCACCAATGGCGTTC